ATCCTGAGATATAGGCAAAGGAGCTCCTTCCTTATTGGAAGTAGGCGCAGAGGCTGCATCCACCTCCGGGTCCGGGGGGCCTGGGAGGTCCGGGGTTGAGGTAATAGCCAGATCTACACTAGATTGCTCCCGGCAGTGTTTGTTGTGGGCCAAGATGACTTCCTCAGGAGAGGAGGATTTAAGGCTAGCAATGATGGCTAGGAGGATCGGTACGAACGATGTGGGGGGAGTGATCTGTGACCCAACCTCCCGTTTTCGGGCCAGGAAGAGGACCCGCATCCACGTGTCAGGGTCACATGTTTTCAGGGGAGACCCACGGAGCTAAATTAGTGGCTTCATCCCTAAAGTGTTCCGATATCTTTTGGTTTCACTTTCAACCCTCTGGTTTTAAGGAGCACCTTGAGTGCTGCCGTTTGTGGTTCCCTGCATTGTGGTGGTAAATTGCCCATTGTGGGAGGGTCTCGCGAAGGGGAATTCGCCACAAAAGTAGAAGATGAGGGTGATTACCAAGAGGGCACAAAGGAAGCAAAGAAGCACTGTGAGCCACTCAGATGTAAACCACCCCACCATGTAAAGGTGTATCAGATCCAAATGTCTTGTGCTCAGTGAGGGATTTCTGGAGGCCGTGACACCTCCAGCCGTATGCTCACACGGTGTCTCCAGGACAGGCAACAGGGTGACCCAAAGCCTGGGCTCTGAGTTCGGGGTGGATCAGCCCTTATGTGATCTCACCAGGACGAGCCGAGAGCGGGGAGGTACCGACGTGGGCTTCGGGACCATGTGGTGGAGCGTGCCTCCCTGACCTAACAAACTAGTCCAACAATAAAGACAACAGACAGGGTGGAGGGGACAGAGGAAGGGGCTACTTGCTTACCCTCGAGCAGCCAAAGAAACAGACAAAACCAGGGGCCTACTTGCCGAACAAACCAAGGTTCTGGGTGTCGCCAACACCGTGGGCAGGAGTCCCCAGGAACTCACTTTGTAGACCAGGCCAGCATTGAACTCACAGGGATCCATCCACTAGCTTTTGCCTCCAAAGTGCTAGGATTAGCCACCATGCCCTGCTTGTAGCAGCTGTGACTTCAGTGCTGGGAAGGCTGAGAGAGACAGGTGAATTCCTGGGGCAGTGGAAGACAACTGAATCAGCACTAGGCAAAATCCCCAATTGGGTATTTCCATAGCCCCCTCCACCCATGTACGACACACATTTGTCCCCTCTGCCAGTTTGTTGGCTGTCAACTCCTCCCATCTCCTAACTCCAACTCAGGAGAGGAGGATTTAAGGCTAGCAATGATGGCTAGGAGGATCGGTACGAACGATGTGGGGGGAGTGATCTGTGACCCAACCTCCCGTTTTCGGGCCAGGAAGAGGACCCGCATCCACGTGTCAGGGTCACATGTTTTCAGGGGAGACCCACGGAGCTAAATTAGTGGCTTCATCCCTAAAGTGTTCCGATATCTTTTGGTTTCACTTTCAACCCTCTGGTTTTAAGGAGCACCTTGAGTGCTGCCGTTTGTGGTTCCCTACATTGTGGTGGTAAACTGCCCATTGTGGGAGGGTCTCATGAAGGGGAATTCACCACAAAAGTAGAAGATGAGGGTGA